TCGATTCAGCACTGTTAACGCGACCTTTCGTCGCTCGATTCCACCAGTGTTCCGGCCGGCCGAAATTAACGCAGCTTATTTTTACCAGCAATATCGAGGAACGCGTCGTCTCGCGCGTCGACTCGCGTCGACGGTCCAGCTTGACGTCAATTTTGTTAATTAATTCGCCTTCGTTAGAACGATCGATCGAACGAGACGCGTTAGCCACCTCGCTACCCGCGAAAACTCGATTTAACCGCTTAAACATTTATCGGGGACATCCTATCTCGTCGACTTGTTATCGTATCGAGAGACCGATATTTTCATTTCGAGCTACAGTTCGCCCCCTTTGCGAATCATAGCTTTTCCTCCGTCGTCGAATTTCACGTAGCGTCGCTTCGTCGCAGCTCGCCGTACGTTCGTCGAATGTAACGCTTTGCGCGTGTCGTAACGCTTCTGAAAAGTTGGGATCCGCGGCGGTAAACGCGATTACCGTAATTCGTTCGCTCGGAGGTCGAAACGGCGGAGCAACGAAGCCATCGTTTCCTCGTAATGCATCGCGTAAAGCCGCGCGAAAATCTACCAAATCCGTCTATCTGCTCACTACCGAAATACGCTTAGTTGAAACAGCGAAACGATAAATTACGGGAAAAGTCGGTCGTTCGATCGGTCGACGCGCGTTACGTACTCGACGAGAAACGTACGGACGCGGTGGACGATGGAAACGAGGGAAAATTTCAAACAAAAGAGAGATAGCATAGAGTGGCGCATCGGAAACGAGAGATACTGGAAGGAAACACCTAGCTGGTCGACATAATAAGGAACACTCTGGCAGAGTCGCATTCATCCGCATAGTTTGTTGCCAATTACCCCAAGTGTCCACCTACGTCGAATTCTGCACCACAGCCGAGAGACATCAACGTCGTATCGTTGAGTAACATGTATGCATAACTTGCATAGGACACGCGACATATAGCTATGCGCGTATATCTACGTAGCTACACGTATATGGATGATGTACACACGTAGGAAACGAACGAGGAAGAGGAGTGGCCGCGCACTGCATCGGACAGCTTGCAACTGCGTATATTGTACATCGGTAATAACCGTTCGCCAAAAATGTAGCCAAGCATAAACAGCTTTTTGCGCTGTTCCGTTCAAGCCATCTCAACTGAAAATCTTTGCCATTTTCGTTGGTCCACGAAGTATTTTATCGGAATTACGAGGTCGGATTTCGCTCGAAGGCAACGAGAACGAGTTACGAGTCGCGCCAAATAAAAGTTTCTTTGGCAACAGGCAACAACGCGATCTTGCTACCTCGTACCGTACGTTCTCTCTGTCTCTCCGTCTCTTTCCCACCATCTTTCGTTGCTTCGAGTTTCCCCTCGAGCGACGCTCCGCGCTCCATCGTTCGCTTCTCTTCTCGCCTTTCCCTCTTTCCCGCGTTTCTATCGTTTTGCAAACCGTTCTTTCGTTCGTCCGGCCATCCACGCTCCTTACCGATCGCTCCTTCTTTTAACCTGGCGATCTGCCGTTCGTCTCGTTCGTGCCGAATTTTCCCATCTACGACGAGTACTAACGAGTTTTCTCGATGCGAGATCGCTGTTGCGCTTTCCGCCTTGCCGACTACCGCCGACGAAACTAATTTCGTTCGCTAAGAATACGTAGTTTACGAGCAAATCGTGGCTTATCCGAGGCACGCGCGTCATTACGAACAAGTCGTAAGCAAACTAGCTGCCACGGCCAACCAACAGTTTCGCACCGACGCACGGTTGACTATACTTGACGTTTAATCGTTAAACCACTTGGTACGCGCCAACGTGTCCGTACGCGTGTATAAGAACGGTACGCACATGTTCGTAGCACGTACCAAGGGACGAGCGAGGCTGGAGCAAGCGCACTAATCGCGCGACCGGATTTCGCGGTTTTACATCGTCGGGCGAAACGGCGAGCAAGAAACGTAAACTTTCGGAGGCCGAATGGTCGACGGTTGGCCGCGTAACGTTCGCTTTCCAGGCTAATCGTTCGTTACGTCGAACGAACGATACGTC